TCAATTAGTTGACTAAAAATAATGTGATGGAGTATTTTGGCTTTTTATGCTAACCTCTCAAAGCTTGAACATCAAAGTCACAGCAAACACTGAAAAATTCAGTGAACACATTTCTCTGTTCAGAAAAAATATGCATTTTCTGCTCTCTTTCACGCTTTTCTCATGACAACTGTTTTTTTTTAAACAAATCCTACATTCACCCTTATTATGCTTGATTTTTTCTTAAGGAGAATAAAAATATCTAACTCTTCCAGTGTTAAGTGCTTTCCAGCTGTACTTGCTAAAAAAGCTGTGTGCTGCTCAGCAGGTTATGCACATGTTTTGGAACAAAGCTGGTAGAGATAACACTGAAGCTGTGACAGAAACCTGGAGCAATAAACTATTCAGACTGTGAAATAATAATTAGAAACATGTTTTAGCACTTCATACAGCCAAAAGGAGGACGCTTAATAATTTTTGGAATTGCTTTCCAGTGTTATTTTGGTGTTATATTCTTAATTTATTTTGACCTTAAACATAAAAAATTGGAATGTGCTCCTAAAAGTAAATCTTTGGAATACAAATCTCAGTATTGCTGAATTCAAAGCAGTTTTTTGGACATAATTTAGAAAAAAAAACAAATTGATTGTTTATCTACTTATCTGAGACTGTTGTTTTAAATCTGCCCTCCAAAGTTTACAGGGATGATTTCTGGCTCACATGATCAGTCCTGGACTTCATGTCACCCATTTGGTTCTGAGCAGCCTTACACACACACACACACACACACACACACGCACTGCCTATGAAGGACTGCGCTGTAGCTGCGGTTATGTTTTCTCATGGTCACTCTGTTCTGTGTTTACAGTGTGTAACCCAGCTGAGCTGCTTTAAAAGCTGCTCCTACTCCAGGTTTGTGTTTTATCCTAGCTGTGCACTTAGAGACTGATTAATTCCTCTGATATTGGGAGAAGGCAAACTGCTGCTTTTATTTTCCAGATCAAAAAGGCGCACCGGGAGAAGCTAGCAGCTCTTCAGGAAGTATCCCTGAGCATTATTAGTCAGATTTAAAAATGTAGAAAACATTTTACATTCATTTCCAAAGCTAAAAAGATGTATAAAAAGCCTTTAAAATTAATTAACCTGGAGATGTTCTTCCCCCTGCATTTCAATCCTCAGTGTAACATGATGGGCAAAAATAAGAGTTCTTACCCTATCCTGTTTGTTGAATTATTTTTAATTATTTTCAGAAGCAATAATTTAAAGCCATTTCTTGATATTTAAAAATCAATCAACACATAATTGCAAATCCAACATGAGTTTATTTGCCTTCGTGTGGAAATACATGTACGATTATGAGATCAGGCCTTCTTGTCCGTATTTGCTCTGAAACATGACATGTTAATATTTACGTTCTGAGCTCCTACCAAAGACAAGCAACAACACCAACGTCTGTTTGTAGTTCTAATCAAATAAATATGACAACATGAAAAGAGCGGCTGATTAAACATTAATCATCTTTGATTAAAATATCACTTGATCCTCTTGGAACTTGTTTTGCAGTGCTTCAACAAAGAGGGATTCCATTTTTTCTTATTTATAAAACATGTTGTTTATACCTTTATTCATAAGGAAACAAAAGAATTCAAGATGCCAAGAAAAAAATAAAAATAAAAAGCTTGTCTGCAGCTGTCTTCCACACTGAACCTTGCCAAAAACCTACACTCCCACAGCTTGCTCTCCAGGGATTACAGATAAAACAGAAATCACTGCTGCAGCAGTTCTGAGGAATAACACACTGGAAAAACACACAGAAAGAGGAATTCTGACGGATTTCCTGCAGGAAAGATCAAAACTGAAATAAACATAAAGAGTTTTCTTACAAATGAAAATTGTAATTGTAAATTTGTGCATTTATGTTTTGTGATACCAAGATTCTTGCATGTTTTTGGTGTAAATCATGCTTTTCTAAAACAAATTGAAATGCATCTCCATTTCTTACAGAAAAACATTTAAAGGTCACATGCTTTCAAGGTTTTTAAAATAAACATTACTCATGAAAATTAGATTCTCCAAGGCTGAAGTGTTGCTTGGAGAATCATTAGCCTACCTTTTCTTCATGTTGGACTGTTGGTCTTGCTGGCAGAAAAAAAAAAAAAAGAGCAGATAGTCTGCAGCCATGCAAGAGATGAAAAGACAGGTAGGACAATGATCTGTAACGCAGCCAGGGTAAGGCAGCAACATCAAAAAGGTGCAGCACGGGAAAATGAGAAGGGAAACATTGTGGTGATTGTTGTTTGTCAGATATACATAGCATTATTGAGCCAGGAAAGTGTGTAAAAATATCAGAAAAAAATAACTGAATTCCTAATATTGCTTTCTTGTTTTGAATCTTCACATCTTGACACACCTGATAAATAAGGAACTGCATGTCTTCATTAATGAGGGTAAGATAAACCTTATTTTGCCCTGATGTTGTCCACTATCATGGACGAGAGCCACCTTAGATCCTGTCTTTTTTTTTCTAAAAATACCCTGCTTTCGTATTTGTGGGCTAGCTTTTCAGGCATTAGTTCGTGTTTCAGAAGGACCTATTTTAGGATGAGATTAATGGTTGCAAATTAAAGATTGTGTTTGGGTGGATTTAACTTCTGTTTAGGAACCAGCTCCAGTATTTCTCTCAAACTGCAGGAATTCTATGATTCTTGGAATCTGTGTCTTAAATCAAGACACATGTAGATGAAAAAGAAGTAAAGAAGTATGGAAAAGTAAAGAGACCATAAAGAGCAAATCCTACAGGAGTAATGATACAAGTTGGAGCAAAAAAGAACTAAAATAAAGATATATCTAGGAGGCAAAACATGGGGAGTAGAACTAAAGAGGTGCAGATACATTTAATATTTCAAGTTATGTGGCAGTGTAGTTATTGTACACATAACTACACTGTGTAGTTATGTGTACAATAACTACACTGGTAATCTTTTATCTGTGTAGAGATAAAAGATTCTAGAGATTCTTTTATCTCTAGAATCAAATTGAATGTTTTTCTGCAATAAAAACTTAAGTTGAACTTTGGCTCCCTTTGGTACTTGTTCAGTTGAGGCATTGAATACTTTAAATGAACAGCTATAATAAGTCATCTGTAATAACTAACTATAGCTGGATAAAGTTGAAGGACTTCAGGAAAGCTTTACTGGAGAATAAGTGTTTTCATTTATATCTCTAAAAGAAAAAAAACGTCTTTAACAACATGCTGTTCTACTCAGGAATCTACATTCAGAGTTTTATAACTCCAGCGTTATGCCACACCTCATAACTGCTATTTTTACATAATACTTTACCTTTTTTTTTCCCCATAAAAAGGCATTATAAAGATTTTTAAAATGTATTTTAATTGAAGAAGAACAACTAATTCAGAGTTAGTTGGTCTCAAAGGGTTATTTTTACTTTCAGCCTCAAACATCTAGCGGGCAAAGTGAGTAAGTCGTCTATGTAGTGTAGTAATATTTTTATCTAATAAAATCCAAACAAATGTAATGAAACGTTTGAGATTTACTACACCATTACTTCATCAAAAAAATCATAAACAAGCTTTGAAGAGAACCAGACAACTCCAATAAAGGCATGGTAGTATCAAGTTATGCCAAGACTTTTCATAAAATATGTTTCAAAACTACTACAGTTTTATAGTCATATGATAAGTAGAGTTGAAGCCCTTCATTTGGATGAGAAGTATTTGTTCAAATGCCATGCTACCGTAGATGTAAGAATATGTACAATATTCCATCAGTAGTGTAGCTAAATGTATCTATATCTCTATAAACAGCGAAAGCTAAACCCACAACATACATGTGCTCAGGAATGACCAAATGTAATTAATAACTTTAAATATGTCTTTTGACTTTGTATGCTGAAAAAAGCTTGTGTTCATGAATTGTTGGTTTTCAGAACAAAGTGGGACCTTTCTAATCAGAGATGGTGGTGCTGGTGGCTAAAGACGCGTGAAAATGAGCTAAAGTTGATTGATAGCCACTTCACTGGGTAATAAGAAACGAAGGAGTGAGACGTGGAGGTGGGGAAAATGTAATGAAACAACATAAACCCCATTGTGTTTGAAACCTGGAAGCTCTGAGCATTTTGTTGTGAAATGACTTCAAGAATGAGAAAGTTGTGATAAAAAATTAGACACTAAAAATGGCAAGCAAGGCATTTGTGCTGCTACACCGACAGCCGCGGGGCTTCTGCGCCTCGGGAGTCCGACGAAACGCGCCGCATTCACCTACTGCAGCTTTCAGCTTTCAGATAACAGCATTGTGGAGCAAAATGAAAGCTTTGTTGTTCAGATAGTGGAGTCGGTTTGTGTGCACAGCAGTTTCTGGCTTTGTCTCAAAGTGACAGTGAGCCGCTTAGCAGCAGCACAATCAGCCACAAGGACACTGAGACATTGGCCTTGTTTTTCTTTTTTCCTCCACCCCATTTTCCTTTGCTGTGTTCAACATCTCTTACCCTGAATCTTGGGGATTACTATCCAGGGATTGCAAAACAGCAGCTTAAACACTGTGTCCATTTCAGGATCGCAGTGGTGAATTTCCATCATCTATAATAATGAGGTTAATAATTGATGAATGTTCCCTGATGTCACATTTCAGTCCTTTCAGTAAATGAACGAACACACAAGACAAAGACTAATGCACACATACTCATACTTAAGGGCAAAATTAGAAAGACAAGTCATATTTTATAAGTGTGGACAGAAGTCATAGTGCAAACTTTATGCAGAAAGAGTGCAGACCAGGATTTGAACCCATGACCTTCAGCAGTCCATGGCTTATAGTTGACTCACACTGTTTACTGTTAACTTGTTGTGTTTCCTCCAAAGTCAAATGATCATATTTAATCCATGTTTTTAATGTGTTGATTTCTAATAGCAACATTTCTGAGATATGAGGTGGTGTCACTGTATGAAAAGTTTGAGAAAAAATATGTTTGTGTTTAAATTTCCTGTTTTGTTTTTTCTTCAGGTGGTGGTGAAAACTCGGACAGAGTACCAGACAGAGAAGAAACGGCTGAAGGTTCCCAAGGTGGAGGAGTTTACTATCAGCTTCACCGATGGGGTTTCAGAGAGACTCAAGGTAATAAACATTCAGTTTTATTGTTCTTAAACCTTTGGGATTACAAAAAAAATAAAATATATATATATATATATATATATATATATATATATATATATATATATATATATATATAGTGTGTTGTTTTCTCCTACAGCAATCAAACTTTAATAACTGAAATAACTAATAAATAATTAATTGCAGGTCTTTAAGTTACAGATTAAACTATGAAGGTCTATGTGCAGATGTTTCACTCAACCAGCTGCAGCCAGGTGTCTTTAGGCCAGTCTGATTTTGTTAAATTTGAAATGCAAACTCTTCAAAGAACAGCATTTTTATTCCAACCGAGGAAGAATAATTTATTTACCAAGAGTTCACTATCTGCTATTATAAATTAGATGCGACTGTCTCAACATTACAAGTTGACTGTGAAGATTATGGCATGAAAATGAGTGGGTTTGTTTTATACATGGTTTCTTTTTTCATGTCACTGTCATGTCACCTAATGTCGACTGTAATAATGAGGTTAATCTTTGATAAATGTTCCCAGATGGCACTTCACTGTGAATCTATCCTCCCAAGCATGGCTGTCCTGATTCCTGATGAAATTGTTAAAACATTTTAACCCATTTTAGTTGTAGACACCCCTAAGAATGTTCTGGTTATCGTAGGAAACTTTGCGTTTTAGGTAGAAATAAAAAGTTTTGAAGGAAAGAAGCTTTCAAAGCAGACCCTGCTGCACCTTATGGTCTTGTACTTGCATCTTGAGGGCAATAAGCTTAGATATTTATTAGGTTGGTGCATCAAATTATGCTATATTGAAAGAGTGGGTGAAGTGTGACACTATGTTGTCGTAGCCCAGGAGAGAGATATTGTCTTGAGTGGGGAAAGGAACAGTCATGTCATTGTGCTTACTGATGAGTTGATGTTTAATATATCAAGTGTGTATAGAAACGGACTGAACACACAGCCTTGTGGTGCTCCGGTGCTGGTGGTGACAGCTGTACAGAGGAAATTGTGCTTGAGATCATTGAACCAGGTGTGGATGTTGAAGTGATTCAGATTCTGATGCAGCTGAATGTATTAACGTGTCATATCAAAAAAAAAAAAAGTTAGCACAAATACACACTTCTGTCTTGGTTTCTCTGTACTTATGTGTTTTGCAAATCATATTTTTATCTCTGTTTTACATCTCAGTGGAAAAGAGTAACACATGTAACTCCAGCACTCTGTGTGTGTGTGTGTGTGTGTGTGTGTGTGTGTGTGTGTGTGTGTGGTGTGTGTGAATCACACAGTCACTGTTCCACACCGTCTGCATGACCCAAAACACTGTCTGTTAGGTCTTTCTGTCGTCACGGGAGACCAGAGATCTCATGTTGTCATGGCAGCAAAAAAAAAAAACCTCCCTCCATGGCAACCCCGACAGAGAGCAAAGGAGGAATAGTGTGTGAACAGAAATGTGCAAATGTGTAAATGAAAAGTGTAACTCTCATCTGAAAGGTGCCTGTTAAAGACAGAGAGGGAACAATTAGAAAGAGGGCATAAGATATGTAGAATGTGGAGGGAAAATTAGGCCTTTTATAAAGATAATATAATTATCTTTGTCTAGTTATGTTAGATTTAAAAAAAAAATGTATTTTTACTAAAAACTGCCTTTCAGAAAATAAAGGTATGACCACGTTTGAGAAGCCTAGTATGATGTGAGGCGTTGGCATGACTCCTTAGAGAGCCGTTTATCTTTTAGAAACATTATAAATACTCCATCTGTTTTACTGTTATTGGCCTCAGAGCTATAAGAACAATAATATAAAAACACCAACTCTGAAATAACAGCAGCAGAGCTGCATTACAAAGTAATTTTGGTCATAAGTCACTGAAGATTGCAATGTGTGACTTCCATGGATCCATTGGACTGGTTGCTATATATTTTGACTTATCTTGTTGTGATGAATGGAGTTTGAATCGACCTTTTCAGGGCAAACCTTTTTTTCCCAAACTGTGCTTTTAAACCTGCAAACAGCAGTAAATCTAAAAATACCCTAAACCATTTTTTGTAGACTTGTGGATACAGCATATTTGTGGTTTTAATAAAGAAGGGACTGATTTGAACTTGGATGCATAGCAAGAAATATGAAACATCCTTTTTAGGATGGACGGGGTGGACCATAGACTCCTGGTAGAAACATTTTTTGGCCTGTTTTTTAAGTTTATTCTGTTTTGGATAAAGTTCCAGTGGAATGTAGCCTAATTCCAACGGTGGATTAGGCCATCTTCTCTGCCTTGTCACACCACATCCGGTTTTGTTTGGCAAAAATACATTTCAGTCTCTGTGATTTTGTGCGATGTCTCTTAGTTTTTGTTTGCTGAGCTGAACAGTTTGCTTCGCTTGACAGACGGAGCTGATTCTGCAGGCACAGAAACATCCACAAACGTAGTTCACAGAGCGACGCGCGCCCTTCTGTGCAGAGCAAACATTTCCAGTCGAAATGCTTGCATGCACATCTTCTCTCTCTTCAAAGTCTTGCAGATTGTGTTGATGGATGAAGAGCTCAGATTGTGAAATGCTCTTTAATCTGCCCCCCCTCTCCGCCTTGTCTCCCAACACTTCACCCGACTCCTTTGTCTGTCTTTTCACTTCATATGTATCTCTGCTGGCAGGACAGCTTCCTGTTTTAATCTTTTTCTGTTTAATTCCCCACTGGAACTGTTACAGTACACTTTTACTTATAAATGATACGTCATTTTTGATGACCTTAACCACTAACTATAGCACAATCTTCCATGGCAACCTTTAAACCTCTAAAAAATTGGTGTCAAAATATAGTAGGAAAGCCATCCAACTTTCTTCTCATCCATTTCACCAGATCCATTCATCCCCAGTTCCTGTTTTTCACAGTAAAACTTCTCCTTATAGCAAGCTGAGCTGTCATTGCTTAGAGTCCTTACTCTCCTCCTTTTCATGATCCATAAGGGAGGACAGTCTCCTTCATTCGTCCCTTGCCGTCTGTCTCTGCTCCTCTCTTCCTCTCTGTCCCTCTTGATACTCCCAGCAGGTAGAAGCTGCTGGAAGCTTCTTTTCTTTTCTCTCTAGGTATTTTTTGTTCCATATAAAGCTTTAGAGGAAACAATTTCCCACCTTTTTAAGAATCAGACATTTAAATTGAAAGCTTCTGAATTTCCTGGCGATCGGATCAAACCGAACTTTGAGAGATTCTTGCTAGATGGCAGTCTTTCTGAAAGACTATAATGACTGAACAGGTTTTACATGGTTCAAAGCAGATATTTACACAAAGATTGCATATTTCTCACTCTCTAACAATATACATTTATTATTTCAGGTCAGTTTGGATTGACAAAAATATTTCTGTTTGCTAAATACAGAATAATGAGGTTGTCGATTTGTTAACATACTCTAAGAGTACTATGTCTTTAAATCTTTTGGGAAAGTGAAGATAATGATATCATGGCTTTGCAAATGTTGCTTTTCATTACATTTAATTTATTTCTTCTTTAATTTTTTTCTACATTTATTTAAAAGAAACTCATCAGACGCAGCTTCCTTGTGTGATATCATTATAGAAAACTAATAAAATCAGAAAATATATAAGAGAGGTATTAATGATCCTCTACAAGTGTAGTTCATCCTTGGATATAGTTTTCACACGCCTGCAGGTGCCTCATTCATCTCTTAAAACAATCACTTGGAAGGCATGTGGATGTTCAGGTTCTGCATGTGGTGGGATGCAAGATGTTCACATCAACCAGAAAACAAAAGCTAATGACTTGTGAAGCTGCTAAGAGTGTCATCATCCACAGCGAAGTAAGTAGCATTATTTGAAAAACAATCTTAAAATCAAATAACAGTTTGTAAATGCACTGAGGAACAAATTCATTTATTTTTTGGAAACATGTCCTATATTCTGAATAAACTAAATTTAAAGTATTTAGCAATAATGGCCATCAATGGGGGACAATATGTGAAATTAATGGACTTCACAAAATAAATAGTATCATGAGCAAAAATATATTATGAGACAGATGAACAAGAAAGTCCATGTTAGTTTGATTTATTGTCAATGAGAAAAAAAAAATGTTTCTTTCATGTAAGGTGTATGTAAATATATGGCTTCGACAGAGTAATCAACAGCCTCTGTGGCTGACAGTTTACAGGACAATATGACAAAACCACAGTTCATGTATTTAACTAAAAATCCTATTTTAACACGAGAAACAATTTGCTACTTGATTAATAATATAACATCCATGCACACTGCCTTATATCTCATTCGTAGTTATTTTATATTATCACAGTTTTACAACTACATGAAATTTGCAGTTTGTCAATTAGAAAATTAAATGAGTAATAGAAATAACACTCAATGAGTAGAAAGGAGGAAAGAGCTAAATTTAATCTAATCTGGATTTTGAGTGGAAATTATAAGCCAGCCTGACCTGAATCCTTTGTTGTTGTTTTTTTCCATCATTGAGCCAACTTAAGCATTTTCTGGCCATATTCTGAGCTCCTGCAGTCTGTGGTTGAGAAAATATTCAGCTATTTTTTTTAAAGCCCTATTACACACTGTAACACACTAACAAATACATGCAACCCTGAAACTAAACATCCTACATCAAAAGATTAAATAGCAAAATGCTCCTTTGTGGAATATTTGATTGGAATTCACCTCCCAACCTTTGCTGTTTTTTTTTTCCAGACTGCTGACTTTCCCCCGAAGCAAAAGCATAAAATTGCGTTTCCGAAGCAGGAAAGCAGCACAGGGTCGGTGCTGCAGGGCAGGGTTTAAAAGATGCAATTGTGGAGGTTTTGTGAAAGGCAGATTATATTTATACTTTACTTCCATTTCTTTTAACTGTGACCAAAATTCACCATATCTGCACACAAACATATATGTGTCTTTCTTAACCTCTAAACTCTGTTCACACCTTAATTTTAAATCCCACTTCTTATGGAGTCTTGGCTTTGGGCCCCAGAAATGGGGCCCAAATGAAAATATTTGTTGCAG